GGGTCAGCCCAGGGACTTGGCTCGCCAGGACCAGCGGGTGACCCCGCAGTCGTGGCGTAGACACCTGCATGTGAGTGGTGCCCTGTGAAGATACCCGCAATGTTGCCAGGAGAGCGCTCGGCAACATGTCCGTAGTTCCTCATCCTGGTCAGCAGCCTGTCATAGTCTGCTTGTGTTCTGGGCATCTGATGATTAAAAGGCTCCAGCAGGTGTTGGGCTCGTGACGCGCCAACGCCTAACGCTCTGAAAAGGATCAGCGTTAGGATCTGAAAGTTGGGGATGACAAAGCCAACAGAGTTAGCCTCGTCACGGGCCATCTCGAATCGAGCTAACACTGAGTCGATTCGCTCGCCCCTTTCGACGCGAAAATCGATAAGGGCAGTGCCAGAGTTGAGCTGGCGCTCATCTTCCAGATTTTCAAATTTGGTGCTCAGTAGGTACAGTATATATGTAACTGCATCCGTTGGCTGTCCATTGACAGTTACACCATAGTTGATGATCTGGGAGGGGACCTGCATGGCGATACGACGAGCAAGACCTTGAAGGCCTCGTTGTAGTGCTGCAGCTTGTTGAGGTGGCGTCATATTGCCGCTCGTTACGTTTATCCATGCATGTACTTCGCGAACGTATTCGCGAAAAGGCGTAGTACCGGCAGGGTCCCACGAAGGGCCGGTAGTACGCGTGTCGTCCATCCCCTGCCGCATGTATCCCACAGCACATCCCATTATTACCCACAGAATGCCGAAGATAGTTATCTTAATCCAGTGCATGTGCATTTCGGCTTCGGTGATTGGTTTAGGCTGTGGTTTGTCAGGCTCTGGCGTAGTAGCCGTGAGGCGCCTGACTGGCACGGGATGCAGGTGGCCCCGCTGCGGGTAGCCCCGCAGGGTGACCACGTTCTCGATCGAGTTGCCGATTGGCATCTGGTGGAAGTCGAGAGTGAAGTAGCGCAGTGAAGTAGGAGAGAGCGTCTCGAGTTCGCGGGTTGCCCCGCTAGCTCGATCGCGGACTGGCTCCGCTCCTCGCAGAGCCGGCGCAACATGGTATTCCACCGTAGTAGTAGTCCACCAAGTTGTGCCGTGGATTACAGGAATCAGAGCGAGAGCCAGCCACACGAGAGTGTAGCCAGCTCCGCTACCAAGTCGAAAACGCACTGGTAAGCTTAGGTATATATTACGCCTTAGGCGTTCCCATATCCCAGGCTTTGGCTCATATCGCATGAGCAAGAGAGCAAGACGAAGCATGGGATCTGGAGTAAAAGATAGGATAGGCATCGTCAATGGAAAAGGTATTTTTCCGATCTCAGATACGAATCGTGCGCCTCGGTGAGGCACAATCACATATTTGGCCGGGCCCGGCTTGAGCCAGGCACGGCAGCGGTACATGCTCGATTTATACCTCGCCTTTAACCTTCTCCGTTTAAAGTGGGAGCCCCAAGACGGCCCACGAGGGCACCTCCTCCTCCTCCTCCTCCTCCTCCTCCTCCTCCTCCTCCTCCTCCCCCTCCTCCTCCTCCTCCTCCTCCTCCTCCTCCTCCTCCTCCTCCTCAGACCACGGTCCGCGGCCCGGTGGCCCGAGGAGCCCCCAAGAGGCCGCCGCAGAGCGCCATGGGGCGTCTCCGGAGGCGCCCACGGAGCTTCCCCGACAGCACTGTCGCCAGGTCCTCCAGAAGCTCGTCTCGGGGAAGCCGCGAAGCCTCCGCAACCAAGTCGGAGGATACGGATACGGATCCCCGAGCGCGGTGCGGCCCCTGCGGGGGGCTGGGGAAAAGTGCGCCGTGGCGCGTGGGAGAGCGCACGCCTTCCCGCTCCTCCTCCCATCCCTTCTTAAACCACCTTCTTACACCACCTCCTTAAAAGAAACCACTATTATTATTGAACCACCTTCTTGAAACCGCCTTATTAATCGCGACCGTGTAGCTGACGGCGTGCGGTAAATGATGACGTAAATGATGACCAAGTCTGAGGAGGACGCGGAAGGATTCGCGGGGCAATCCAGGCGGGAACGAGGAAGAGGAATAGGAAGCTCGGTCGACCCAGAAGGGGGTCCAGCGGCTGTCCAGCGTTGAGGGGGTGGTGCGCTCGATTTGGGGCAGTTGTGCTGCAAACGTACTGCGCCGGAGAAGTGCATTGCATTGTATTGCAACGGACGTTTCGCACGCGACACCTCAGCAAGTTGCACCAGAATGCATTGCACGCCCCAAATCTACTGCAACCCCTGGCTGTCCCCCGGAGACGGTTTTCTTCAGATTCTGGCAAGTTCACTTGCATCGAAGGGGTGGGTGGGTGGGCGCGCCCCAAGCACGCCAGAAGCAACTTGCACGTTAAGGGGGGGGCTCCACGCGTCCCAAGGGAAGTGGGAAAGGGGCCCTTTCCCCCTTCCCTGGGGCCCAAACTGCCGTGCGAGGGCGGGGGGGGTAAGGGGGGGGGGGCCTCCACGCGCCCCAATGGAAGTGGGAAAGGGGCCCTTTTTCCCTGGGGCCCAAACTGCCGTGCGAGGGGGGGGGGAGGGCGAGCTCGCCAACCCACCCCGGGGGCCTCCGGCGGCCTCCGGAGCCTCAAAATCTGCACCCCGTGGCCTGCAAGGTTTTCTATATATATATATATATAGATATATATATATATATATATATATATATATATATATAATATATATATATATTTGGTAAGCAAGTTTACTTGCATGGCAGTTTGTCCCCCCCCCGCCCCTCCCTTCTGCTTCACATAGCACTGGGCCGAAAAAGCGTGCAAGTGCTTTTCGATTTGCGTGATTTCCGCGCCCCCCCCCCCCCGCGCGCAAATGCAAGGGTTATGGATCGCCATCGTAGCCCCAACGGCATGGACTTGGCAGAAATTGTGGCTTCATGGTCCCGAAGTTGCACTGTGGTTCCGGTGCTCAGGCGCCCCTGCTGATTTGTATGGCACATGGCGCGCCCATCGCTTCAGGTATCGTCACTTCCCTACGAAACGCCCTTGCACTTGCGAGGCGCGGAGCTCCCCCCCCCCAACGTGCAAGTCGCTTGTGGCTTGCTTCGGGTTCAGCCCCTCCCCCCCGCCGTGCATGCAAGCAATCTTGCCGGAGTCTAAAAACAGGCTCTACGCTGGCTCAATCTAGGCCCGAACACGCCGAGGAGGCCTAACAAAACACCCAATATGCCCTCAAGATGGCCGAAGAAGCAAAAAACTTTCAATTCCCGATGGAGACGGAGACGTGCATTTTCAGCATATTCGCATTTTCAGTACAGCGTCCGTCCGAGACGGCTCAAGAGGCCCCCGAGATTGCTCCAAGACCGCCCAAACAGCCCCCGAGAGGGCCCCAAGACGACCCAAGAGGGCCACAAGACGGCCCAAGGGGCGCCCAAGACGGCCGTAGGGGCCCCAACAAGACTCCTCCTCCTCCTCCTCCCTCCTCCTCCTCCTCCTCCTCCCTCCTCCTCCTCCTCCTCCTCCTCCTCCTCCTCCTCCTCGAGAGGGGAAACGGACACTGAAATATCGAGCCTGGGCCCCGAGACCACCAGCAGGCGCCCAAGGACCCCCCAAGAGGCCCCCGACGGTCCAGAAGAGCCCCCTTGAGGCTCCCAAGCGGTCTCCCAAAAAGGCCTCCAATGAAGGGGCCCTCGGACACACAAATGAATACACACACAAATAGCAGAATTCCCCATATTTTCAAATAGTTTCCGGGCTTTCGTCTTCCCCCCACTGCCCATAGTTTCCTATATTTGCCGGGGAATCGACGATGAATTGTGTCTGTGCTTCTTCCCCTCCTGATCCAGGAGCCGCACCGTGGACGTCTTCCCTCTGCCAGGGGTCGGCGGAATGGCGCAGGCCTCCAGGACAGCGGCGATGACGAGAACCGCAACCAAGAGCAATCGCTGCTTCGGGTGATCCGCATCTCTCTCGTGGCGCCTGCATGCCTGGGAGTGAAGGACCAGGGTGCATGGCGCGACGTACCCAAACAGTCTTGTGTGTGTGTGTTTCTGTCTGTCTGTCTGTCTGTCTGTCTGTCTGTCTGTCTGTCTGTCTGTCTGTCTGTCTGTCTGTCTGTCTGTCTGTCTGTATGCAGACGTGTATGTATACATGTATGTATACAGATATGTATATATAGATGTGTGTTCACATATATGTGTATGCCTTCATGTATGTACACATGTCTATATACATGAAACTGTATGTATGTATGTATGTATGTATGTATGTATGTATGTATGTATGTATGTATGTGCGTACGTACGTACGTATGTACGTATGTACGTATGTACGTATGTACGTATGCATACATGCATGCATGCATGCACGCATGCATGTATGTATGTATGCATGCATGCATGCATGTATGTATGTATGTATGGATGTATGTATGTATGTATGTACGTATGCCTGTATGTATACATGCATATATATACATGTGTATATATATGTACATATCTATATGTGTGTGTGTGTTAGATTCGATATGCGGGTGCGCGCCGCCGCCGGCTGCAGCGGCAGGCGCGGCCCTCCGCAACTCGAGCCTGTGCCGCTGCCTGGCTTGTCAAAGGGGGCGCTGGTGGTGGTGGAGGGCCCTTCGGGGAATCAGCCTCTCCAACACCAGGGGGCCACATGCGAACCCTACCCCCTACCCCCCACGATTTCTGAGGGCGAGGGTGGAGTTCACTTCGCTCGGGAGCGCCCAGACAAAGTGAACCCCACCCTGCCCCTCAGAAATCGTGAGAAATAGGGCAGGGTTCGCATGTTGCCCCCGAAACACCATGCTCTCACAGCGCTCTCAGTGTCTACCTGTTTCATGCGCTTTCGTGCGTCCAGAGGCCGAAATCGAAGAAACCTCCGAAGATCGAGGGTCGACGAAAAACCTTCGAAAAACCGAAGGCGACGACGACGACGACGACGACGACGACGGCGGCGGCGGCGGCGGCGAAGAATAATAAAATACTCCCTGCCGGGGGCGCTATCCCCCCCCCCCGGGAGAGGTCAGGGGGGGGGGGGGAGGCGCCGCTTTATAATTCCGGACCCTACATTACCCGCGGTGGCACATCCTCTTCCTGTCCGGCCGCCTTCTGGCGGCAGGAAAACGACTTGGCCGTCCAACGCCGCACGGCCCGCCCGCCTGTCGCCCGTCTGTTGCCAGGGAAACTCCCATCGGGAGCGGCCAAGAGGGGGGTGTCCAAGAGATGGGGGTGCAAATCATGACCAGCGGCATGTGCGCGGCCCAGCGGGGGGGCCAGGGACGTAATGAAACAAGAAGAGGCGCCATGAAATCTGGGGAAATATCATGGCCCCCGCCATGATATCCCCCCCCCTAGTCATCACCCCCCTCTTTTCCGCCCCCGATCCCAGCGAGGCAGCACGCCAGCAGTCCGTCGTGGAGGGTCTCTGGATGCCGCGGGGGTGAGCTCAGAGAGGGCGCGCTGGGCAGGGAGACGCACAAGGGAGATGAAGCGGCGCGGGATCTGGCGTTTGGAAGCTGGAGAGGTCCATCGGGCGCGCAGGGGGCCGCAGAGGGTGGTCGAAGTACACATGAGAAAGCGGAGGAGGCGGCTGTGCATCGAAGGGGACCGGCCGGTCAGTCCGCTGTGTTACAACTGTCGCCGCCTACAGCGCAACGTCCTTGTAAATGGAAGCGCGCCGATTCGATATTGAGGTCTCGGAGAAAGGGCAGCAGTGAGGGGGAACCCTGGGGGGGGTACAGGCTCAGGAAGGGGGCGATCGACCTGGAATCGGCGGTGCATCTCCGACAGATCGGCCATGAGCCCCCGAGAGCGAATCCGAAGCTCCCTGGCCAGGGTAAGCGATCGGGCGCCTATCGTTAGGTCGGGCTGTCCCCCTACACACGGATTTTGGACGCAAAATCAAAAGTACAAACAATAGCCAAAAATAGTCAGACAAATAATCGAAACATCCTCCCCAGACATTTTTGGAATTATTTTGAACATCCCTCCTGTGGAGGGACATCCCTGACTCCAGCCTATCGGCGACGAATGGGCGATTGGGGGGTCGACGCGTCCTCCTTGAGCCTGCCTCCCACCCACCTTCCTCCGCCTCCTCCGCCTCATCCGCCTCCTCCTCCTCCTCCTCCTCCTCGTCCTCCTCCTCCTCGTCCTCCTCCTCCTCCTCCCTCCTCCTCATTCTTCTTCTCCTCCTCCTCCCCCTCCCCCACCTCCTCCTCCTCCTCCTCCTCCTCCTCTCTCCTCCTCCTCCTCCTCCTCCTCCTCCTCCTCCCTCCCCCACCTCCTCCGCCTCCTCCGCCTCCTCCTCCTCCTCCTCCTCCTCCTCCTCCTCCTCCTCCTGATCTTGCCCTCCTGGCTTTCGGGCCAGAGCTCCGCTCCCCGGCGCCCCCGTGACCCGCTCTCCGCGGGGCGCAGCTGCTGGGCCGGGCCCCCCCCGAGGCTGGAGAACCCCCCAGGAGCCCACGAGAACGGGACAGAAACCTCGAGCCCCCCCCCCCCCCACACCCCTGAGCCAAGGGAGGAGCGCTGGCCAGCGCGGCGTGCCGCTCACAGCAGCCACAGCAGCCCCCCGGCCAGCAGCCAGCGCGCAGCGGCCCCCGAGGGCGCCACGCCGCTGTGGACCAGCAGCCCCGGCGGCGGCGCGGCCGCCGCGGCGGGGTGCGGGGTCCCACTGGTGGTGCTCGGCAGGGCCGTCTTGGCCTCGGCGACGCGCCAGAGGTGACCCCAGGCAAGAGTCTGACTGACCTTTGGTGCGCAGCTTTGGGGGGTCGCGCGGGGGGGGGGGGGGGGGCAATTTCAGGCGCGCACGCTTGCGCTGAGAGGCGACCCCTGCGGGCCCGCACCAGAGGTCATTCTGGCGAAGGGCCACTCTCACGCGTCGACAGCACGTGGCCTCTGCGGAGGCCGCAGACGGCACGCTGCTGCGCGCCTCGGCTGCCGGCGGCGCCGGCGCGACCGCGACCTCGGCCGCGTCAGGGGCGGCCTCGCTGGCGCTCGGGGCCACGACCTCCCTCTTGGCCTCTGGCGTGGCGGGCTGTTCCTCGGCCTGGGGGGGCACCGGCGCGGCCGCGGCCGGCGGCGGCGGCGGCGGCGCGACGGGGGCCGCGGCCGCGGCCGCCGTGACCTCCCTCTTGGCCTCTGGCATGGCGGGCTGCTCTTCGGCCTTGGTGGACACCGGCGCGGCCGCGGCCGCGGCCGCCGGCAGCGGCTGCTCCCCGGCCTGACGGTATAACTCATCATCGTTGAACCCTGTCATCAGAGTGTGGTATCTGATCGCCTTCTGCAAGTTCTCCTCGGCCCATGTGCGGTTGTAGACGTACTCGAAGGCGGGGTCCTCCTTTGCGATGTAGAAATGCCATCCAATCTGCTTGGAGAGCTTTACTTTGGCATAGTACTGGTGGTGCTCGCAATTCGCGTACTCTTCCTTATCCACGATCGGGATTGATCCACACAGAATTGCCTCCATAAACCTGTTACTGTAGGGCAGGTCACCAGCAGGAGCCAAGGTGAACTCACTCTCGCAGAGGGTGCGGAAGTACGTCTCGTCAAATGGCACCTCATCATTCTCATACGACTTCTGCTGCTTAGTGAAATTTCTCTTCTCCTGAGAATGGTCATAAGGCCCCAGTAGTTTCGTCTCGGGCGCTGGATTGGTATCCTTGTAGTAGTCGGCCGCGCTAAAATCCGCCACAACGCTTTGCAGAAGACATTAAGCGCGTTCCAAGCCCCTGAGTGCTTTCGCAGAACGCCGCTGCTTGCGAAGGACCCCCCAGCCCCCCCGTTCAGAGGAAGCACAAAGATGCTCATGTGACATGTGATGAAGATGCAACTTTTGGGGGGGCAACTCTTGCTTCCGCTGGGTTCCGAAGCCCTCGCCAGCTTTCGCCAGCAGGAGGGGGGGGAGGAGGAGGAGGAGGAGGAGGAGGAGGAGGAGGAGGGAGGAGGAGGAGGAGGAGAAGGAGGAGGAGGAAGAGGAGGAGGAGGAGGAGGAGGAGGAGGAGGAGGAGTAGGAGGAGGAGGAGGAGGGGGAGGGCACCTGCCGCCGATGAAGAGAAGTCGACCCTGCGGCCCCTCGAGCGCGAGGCCCTTGCTGAATCGCACCGTGTGCGGCACCAGATCTGAACGTGTGTGGGTCCGCCAGGGCAGAACGAGTGCTTCCTGGAGTTGGGGGCAGGATGCGGACGCGGCAGCGATGCAGATGTTTGCTCACAAACGGCGCGATCCAGTCGCGCACGCCCATGGGGTAGCTGGACTCTGCGCTCAGATCCCGAAGAGCCCCGATGAAGTTGAACTTCCTGGTGTGCCCAGCCGCTGCGAGATCCTTGGCCTTCTGTACCCATGAGCGGGGGTATTTCACGAGGTACCTGTCCCTCTCATCCTTCACCGGTGGCCCCTTTGGCGTCACACCTTCCTCGCGCTGAGCCATCCTGTACGGGGCATGAAAGATACCTCCACGTCAGGATGGAGCGATGTATGAGAAGAGGCGCCCGACTATGCGCCACAACAGCGCTCTGCACCGTGGCCCCCCTACCGTTCCCAGGCCCCCTGGGCAGGTTGCGGACTCTTCTACGCAGGAGTTTCTCCAGGGCGCCCAAACCCACAATGAGGGTGAGCAGGTGGGTCCGAGATCAGCCTCGAAAACTTGCAACCAGCGAGCCTGTGATGCTTATTTTCATTTCCTTCCCTCTCCACCTCCTAGCCCCCTACGCTAAGGACACCCTTACTCCAACGTGCCTCACTTGATGTGGAGCGAAAAATCTTCAGACAGCGCATCCAAGCTACGCGTGTCTTTTCCCATGTCCCGCACCAGGCGCACCCCCCAGATACACATCTTACGCATCAGCCAGGCCCAGGCTACACGTTCTGGAAGCATGCTCTGGAGATCCGCGCCTGTTGAAGAGGAGGTGGAGTAGGGGGCGGTGGAAATAATTCCCAAAGGAGGCCATGGCACAGAATTTCGGGAAAACAACATGTACGGATACCGCTACTCTCTGGACCTCTCTCTGGGTGTGATCTGACGAGGACCTCGAGGCGGATACAGCCTTGGCAACAAGGGCCTCCCAGGAGTCGCCAAATAAGCCAAAACGAGAGATCTGAAGTGCAGCGGTACCCGTATCTTTTCCTCCTCTGAGAGTCGGTGCCCCCGTCCTGTACAGCACCCCGTTCATCCACTGGCCAGCAGCGGGCTTCTCGTCCTCGTCCGAGGCGCCCGCCACCGTCGCCAGCGTCGCTCGCTCTCCGGACGCCGTCACGCTGGACCAGGCGGACGTTAGCGGGGGGCAACATGCCCAGATATCCGACGAGAACATGACGTTTTCAACTGGCGGTTGTTCCTCGATGCCGGCCCTCGGTGGCCGCTTTTGGGCCCGAAGGCCATCAAGCGTAGATCCGGTGCGAAAAACTACCCCTGGAGAAGCAGCTACGACATCTGGGGCCGCGGGCTGAAAAAATCAGGTCGGCGGATGTCGTGGAACGGGGGTCGATGGACGGTGGCAGCAAAGGGGCCCTGAAGGGCCCCTATGGAGAAACCAACAGGTACCGGTACTCTGTGTCCCTCCATAGTTGTGGGGGGACCTGTAGTCCGCGGAGGGTACATGTAGTCCGGGGGAGGGGTAGCTGTAGTCCGGGGTGGGGTATCTGAAATCCAGGGGAAGGGTACATGTAGTCTGGGGGCGGTACCTGCACTCTGGGGGGGAACGCATGTTCACGCGTCAACGCACGCGTGGATGTAGTCGGGGGGGGGTACCTGTAGTCCAGTCTGGGGGAGAGGTACCTGTAGTTCGGGGAGATGGTACCTGTAGTCCAGGGGGTACCTGTAGTCTGGGGACCCAGAACTATTGAGGGACACGCAGCCCTCTACTCCCCAGACCTTTCCCGGGGTGCATTCTGACCAGAATTCGAGGGGAATCTGGCGTTGGCGACGAGGACCTCCCAGAAGGCCACCAAAAACGGGAAAACGGGCGACGGGTAGCGGTACAGGTACAGGATGAGGAGGAGGAGGAGGAGGAGGAGGAGGAGGAGGAGGAGGAGGAGGAGGAGGAGGATGGGGGGTGAGGAGGAGTAGGACGAGGAGGAGGAGGACGAGGAGGAGGAGGACGAGGAGGAGGAGGAGGACGAGGAGGAGGAGGAGGAGGAGGAGGAGGAGGAAGCCTAGGCCCTGAACAGCCACCGCGGCCAACGGAGAGGTGCGCCAGAAGGGCGCTCATTTTTCGAGGGACACGGGGCAGGGGGAGGGGGGCCCCACCTCCTCACGGGGGGAAGCACCCAGCTCGAGTCGGCGATACCTCGCCGACAGGTCGGCGATGGGCCCGCGTTAGCAAATCGTCGGTGGCGACTCCTGGGAGCCTCCCATACCATCTTGTCGGCTCTGGCGAGCCGACGCTGATCGACGCTACGTCGGCGCGAATCGACGCTAGATCGACGCTAGATCGACGCCAGCCGATGCTAAGTCGGTGCTGTCTCATCGCCTCCCAGACGCTAGTCGACGCTAGTCGACGGCAGAGACGGAATCAAGAGGGCATGCCAGGCTCTATGAAGGGGGGCGATGACTGGGCGATTGGGGGGCCGATGCGCTCCGCCCCCCCTCAGCCTGCCCCCCCAAAACACACACACACACACACACACAAACACACACATACACACACACACACACACACACACACACACGCACACACACACACACGTCGGCCGGAAGAAGCAGTAGGCAAGGACATGCAGCAGCATGGCGCTGCGCTGGCACCGCCGGTGGGCGACGGGAACAAAAAAACGGGGCCGATGCGCGAGATGGCGTGGCCACCGTGCGCGGCGGCTTGCGCGGGCCGCCGGCGCGGCACGCCAGTGGAAGCGAGGGCACTCACGCGCGACCTCACGCGGGCGGCCTGCGTGCGAGTGGGGGCAGTCGACCCCGTACTGCGGGATGACGATTAATAGGAAAAAATGAAGGAGAACGACTAAAGAAATAGTTCTCTGCTTTTTCTGCACAGGTTTCTGGCTGGAGGAGAACGGTCAAAAAAATAGTTTTCCGGCCCGCGGCCGGTTTTTTCTAATCATCATCCCGGGCGCCGCCGCGTGAACACGACCCCCGGTCATTTATCAATCGTCATCCTCCATTACACGTCGGTCGAAAGAACTAGGTAAAAGCAAGAGGTGGGACGGCGGATCCAGTAGATTGGGCCCAGGCGCTCCCAGGGGATGACACAACTCGGCAAAAGCATTCCGGTCCTTGAAACAGAAAGGCGCTTGAAGCAGATGGGAACCTGGGAATCCAAGACTACTCCAGATTTCGTAATAAAAGGGAGGGGGTCTGGACCCTCCAAGACAAGCCATTTCAGACCTCCCCCGTGGGAGAACCCTCCAAAACATCGTCCCCAGACCCCCCAGGCCCTCCAATATAGCCTGGAAGAGACCCCCCCCCCGAAATGAGACCCCCCTCCCTTTATTACGAAATCTGGAGTACCTACTTTCGACCACCGGCCGGTAGTGCTGAACCTCCTGGGGGCCATATACCTCCGCTCCCGGGCGGCCGTTCGGGACGACCCGGCCCCCCCCCGGGAACGCTCTCGGTGAGGCGCCGCTGCCGGAGAGCACTCCGAGGCTGGCAGACCGCCGAGAACCGACTAGAGCACCCGAAAACACAGACCCAGACCCCCGACGTCATGAATTTGTCATTGCGTCGACCGCCAGAGGTCTCGACCCCTTCCCCAGGACCGGTTTCTCATCCTGAGTCGTGTCTTGACTGTCCCGAGGCCTGGTGAGGGCCCCCCGAGGCCGAAAGTCAGGAAAAACCTCCCGCCATGATTTTTCCATTGCCCGAGGGGGTCTGGGGACCTCGAACAGCCCAGCCTACCCCCCCCCCGCACCACCCCACCTGGCGATGCCTCTGACACCCGTGCCGGTGGGCCTGCTTCCCACTACTCACCGCCACCGCCGGTAGACCAGGGACAGCTGGCCTAGCTGTGGTCTCGCCTTGCTGTGCGAAGCGCCGATCGCGCCCAGTACACCACTGCCACGGGTCGGCCCCCCATGGTCTACCCTGAGATCCTGGCGTCTCAACTTTTCTGAGCCGGGCGTGTTTGCCTTCTTGTCGGACCCAGGGACCCTCAAGGACGCGGAAAGATGGGGCCAGGCGTGATTTTTTGCAATGTTGCAGTTTTTTCGCTGCGGCGGATCT